GGCGCAATGGCTCATGCCTATAATCCCAGCACTTTGGGAGGCCAAGGTGGGCAGACCACCTGAGGTCGGGAGTTCGAGACCAGCCTGACCAACGTGGAGAGATCCCGTCTCTATTAAAAAATACAAAATTAGCCGGGCATGGTGGTGCATGCCTGTAATCCCAGCTACTCGGGAGGCTGAGGCAGGAGAATCGCTTTAACTCAAGAGGTGGAGTTTGCAGTGAGCCGAGATCGTGCCATTGCACTCCAGCCTGGGCAACATGAGCAAAACTCTGTCTCAAAAAAAGAAAAAAAGAAGGTTTACACCTATGTATTATCTTGTTTAAAAAAAAAAAAAAAGAACAAAAAACACTGTGAACAGCAAACTGCTTGGTGACCTGTGTGTAAGTTAGTCCAACATCCCATACAAAGCAAAATGTCACTAACAAAGGCATCCTATTATTCTTAGGCAATTAGAAGGCAAAGAGCAACAGAATACAGACAACCCAATTTTTGGCCCATGGCACTAATCTGCAGACTAGAAATCCTCAAAGTGGCTGGGCACAGTGGTTCACGCCTATAATCCCAAAACTTTGGGAGGCTGAGGCTGGAGGATCACTTGAGGTCAGGAGTTAAGAGACCAGCCTGCCCAACATGGTGAAACTCCACCTCTACTAAAAATATAAAAATTAGCCAGGCCTGGTGGCACGTGCCTGTAATCTCAGCTACTTGGAAGGCTGAGGCAGGAGAATCGCTTGAGCCCAGGAATCAGAGGTTGCAGTGAGCTAAGATTGTGCCACTGTACTCCAGCTGGGGCGACAGAGCAAGACTCTATCTTAAGAAAAAAGAAATCCTCAAAGTATGCTCACTAGAATTCCTAATTCCATACAGTTCATCAAACAAGGCAGTAGCAGCCATCTCATCATTCCACTAAGAAGAAAAGATCAAGTCCATGGGCCCTAAAAACTTGAAAGTTTCACAAATGTTAAGGGTTAGAAGAAAAAGAAAAGGAATCCCTGAAACCCTTTAAGGAAGCAATCAGAGCGCTGTGTCCCAGCACTGCAGCTCAAAAGGCCACCACCCAGCCCTTGGGGAATGCTGCCTTCATCTACCCGACAGCCAGGGTCTCCATCTGTCACCCAGGCTGGAGGGCAGTGGCACGATCACAGCTCAGTTCAGCCTCGACCTCCTGGGCTCAAGCAATCCTCCCACCTCAGCCTCCCAAGTAGCTGGGACTACAGGTGCACCACCACACCCAGCTAGTATTTTTTACTTTTTGTAGAGACAGGGTCTCACTAGGTTGCCCAGGTTCTTCTCAAACTCTTGGGCTCAAGTGTCCCTCCTGCCTTGGCCTCCCAAAGTGCTGGGATTACAAGCGTGAGCCACTGTGCTTGGCCTGATCTTACTGCTATTACTACATTATCCAGAAATTATGTGTTGAGAAAATTAGATGTACACACTGTAAGCACAATATAATAATAGTTATATTTGGATGGCATAATAATGGGTGATTTATATTTTCTTTTTCATGCTATTCTATGATCTATAAATGCTTTCCAATGAATCACTTGAGGTCAGGAGTTCGAGACCAGCCTGGCCAACATGGTGAAACACCATCTCTACTAAAAACACAAAAATTAGCTGGGCTTTTCGGCATGTACCTGTAATCCCAGCTACTTGGGAGGTTGAGGCAGGAGATTGCTTGAACTTGGGAGGCAGAGACTGTAGTGAGCCCAGATCGTGCTACTGCACTCCAGCCTGGGTGACAGAGTGAGAATCTATCTCAAAAAAAAGAAAAAAAAAAAAATTTCCAATGATTTTATCAGATTTGTAATAATTTTTTTTTTTTTTTTTTTTTTTTTTTTAAAAGACAAAATCTTCGTCTGTCCCAGGCTGGAGTACAGTGGCACGATCTTGGCTCACTACAACCTCTGCCTGTTGGGTTCAAGCAATTCTTGTGCCTCATCCTCCCGAGTAGCTGGGATTACAGGCGCCGGCCACCACACCCAACTTTTTTTTTTTTTTGTATTTTCATGTTGGCCAGGATGGTCTCGCTCTCTTGACCTCGTGATCCGCCCGCCTCGGCCTCCCAAAGTACTGAGATTACAGGCGTGAGCTACCACACCTGGCCCAGATTTGTAATAATTTAAACAAAGATATATAATTTTAAGACTCCACAACATCCTCATATAATTTTTTATTATTTTTTTTTAAGACAGGGTGTCACTCTTTCGCCTAGGCTGGAGTGCTGTGGCATGATCTCGGCTTACTGTAACCTCAAACTCCCAGGCTCAGGTGATTCTTCCATCTCAGCCTCCTGCATAGTTGGCACTACAGGCACATACCACCATGCCCGGCTAATGTTTTGTATTTTCAATAGAGATGGGGTTTTGCTATGTTGTCTAGGCTGGTCTCGAACTCCTGGAGTCAAGCAATCCACCAGTCTATTCAAATAAATGAGGGTACATCTATTCACAGTAACACAGCCATTAAAAGAACAAACATGCAGTTATGGACCGATATGAAACTATCTCTGAGACATGTTATTTAACCTACAAGATGCAGAATATATGCTATCATTTGTACAAAATTAATTTTAAGACTGAATGTGGTGACTCACATCTGTAATCCCAACACTTTGGGAGGCCGAGGCAAGGGGATCACTTGAGGCCAGGAGTTCAAGACCAGCCTGGGCAACATAGTGAGACCCTATCTTTACCAAAAAATACAAAAATTAGCTGGGCATGGTGGCATGTGACTATAGTCTCAGATAATTGGGAGGCTAAGGTAGGAAGATCGCTTGAGCCCAGGAGTTCAAGGCTGCACTAAGCTATGATTTTTTCCACTGCACTCCAGCCTAGGCAGACCCTGTCTGCAAAAAACACAAATAAGCAAACAAATACATAAATGAATAATATTAATTTTAAGATATATTTATTTGTGCATGTATTGGCTATCTCTGGAAGGCTCACCTAGAAAGTTATAGTAAAATTGCCTTGAAAGAGGGGCAATGGAGGACTAGGGGAAAGGAAAGAGAAAAACAGGTGAGAGGAAAACTTAATTCTCTTTTTCTTTTTGAGACAGAAGTCTCGCTCTGTCACCCAGGGTGGAGTGAAGTGGCACGATCTTGGCTCACTGCAACCTCCACCCTGCCTCCCCCACCCAAGCAATTCTCCCACCTCAGCCTCCCGAGTAGCTAGGATTATGGGCACCCGCCATCACACCCAGCTAATTTTTGTATTTTTAGTAGAGACGGGGTTTCGCCATGTTGGCCAGGCTTGTCTCGAACTCCTGGCATCAGGTGATCCACCCACCCCAGCCTCCCAAAATGCTGGGATTATAGGCATGAGCCACCACTCCTGGCTGGAAACCTTAACTTTCACTATATATATCCTTTTTGTACTTTGGGTTTTTGTTTATTTGTTTGCTTGAGATGGGGTCTCACTCTGTTGTCCAGACTGGAGTGCAGTGGCACAACCACAGCTTACTGCAGCCTCAAGCTCCTGGGTTCAAGCATTCTTCTCACCACAGCCTCCCCAGTAGCTAGGACTACAGGCACACATCACCATATCTAACTTTTTCTTTCTTTCTTGGAAACAGCATCTCTCGGTCAGGTGTGGTGGCTCACGCCTGTAATCCCAGCACTTTGGGAGGCTGAGGCGGGTGGATCACGAGCTCAGGAGTTCAAGACCAGCCTGGCCAATATGGTGAAACCCCGTCTCTACTAAAAATACAAAAAATTAGCCAGGCATGGTGGCGGGCACTGTAGTCCCAGCTACTCGGGAGGCTGAGGTGAGAGAATGGCGTGAACCTGGGAGGCGGAGCTTGCAGTGAACTGAGATGGTGCCACTGCACTCCAGCCTGGGCGACAGATCGAGATTCTGTCTCAAAAAAAGAACAAAGAAAGAAAGAAACAGGTCTGTCGGCCGGGCACAGTGGCTCATGTTGGTAATCCCAATACTTTGGGAGGTCAAGGCGGGTGGATTACCTGAGGTCAGGAGTTCAACACTAGCCTGGACTACATGGTGAAACCCTGTCTCTACTAAAAATACAAAAATTAGCTGGGTGTGGTGGCAGATGCCTGTAGTCCCAGCTACTCAGGATGCTGAGGCAGGAGAATCACTTGAACCTGGGAGGTGGAGGTTGCAGTGAGCCATGATTGGACCATTGTACTCCAGCCTGGGTGACAGAGTGAGACTGTCGAAAGAGAGAGAGAGAGAGAGAGAGAAAGAGGAAGGAAGGAAGGAAGGAAGGAAGGAAGGAAGGAAGGAAGGAAGGAAGGAAGGA